TCCAGCACTGCTCAATTTTTAACTGGTAATTGTTCGGTCATGCACCACTGTACCCAAATTAAATTTAAATTATTTTTATTCACACAAATAGAGCTTTTATTTGGTTGTATTTGATCACCACTGGGTTTTTAATTTTTTTATTATAGGAAAGAAAAAAAACGACAGAAATTTTGAAAAAAAAATATACATTTGCTACTTTCTGTTATAAAACACAGTCATTAAAAAATATAAAAATATAATTTCTTCATAAATTTAGGCCAAAATATATTCTACTACATGTCTTTGTTATAAAAAAAAAAAATCACAGTAAGTGCATATAAATTGTTTGTGTGAAAGTTATAGCGTCTACAAACAATGGAATATACAGTATACTGGAATTTATGCAGCTATGACTCTATACTGGTAATGGCGTTGATCAGCGACCTATAGTGGTACTGTAATAGTGTGGCAGGCAATCTGGCACTAACAGACCCTTGCTGGGAAGTACACTAACTGACACCAACAGTGACACTAATACAGTGATTAGATATAATGCTGTACACTGACATTAGCTGGGAAGGAGTTAACATCAAGGGGCAATCAAAGGGTTAATTGTGTACCTAACAAGTGTAATGCGTGTAATATGTGCTACTTTTACTTACAGATCTGGCTGTTTTTTCTCCCTGCTTTGCAGGGAGAAGAAACAACCAGATCACCAATCTGTGTACAGAGCCCTGTGTTGTTTGTAAACTCCTGGTTCTGTGCTGTATTTGGCTACAGTCAATCAGCAGGTCTCAACCATAAATCATTGGCCTAGACCTGCTGACCAAATCCCACTGTAGCCAGTGACAGTATGGATTAGCAGTGGGCGAACGCATGCACACCCCTAACCCGGAACAGGTTGGATAACGTCCATGTATGTGATCCAGCCTGCCCGTGCTGCCCACTGGCCCATAGTAAATGTACTGTGGGTGAACATGAAATAGTTAAATACTACACTACGGTCCTCCTTTTGTTGCTCGGGTATGTGAGGTTTGTCTATACAGCAATCTGGTATACATGTGGTGGAGCCAAAGATTTGGCGGAGTTGGGTAGAGGCTGGAGTGGATCTAAGGGGAACCCTACTTATTACTGACATGCGTTTTTGGTGCCTGTAGTTTAACCAGCCATTAATTCCAGTGTGTTTTCACTTTGATGGCTGATTGAAGTTTTGTGGATCTTCATTTAAAGCAAATGGCACATGGGAAGAAAGGAATTGAAGTTGAATTTGAAAGAGACTTTTTCACCTTGTTTGTATAAATATTCATTGTTTTGGCGCTACATTTGCACTTTGAACATTCATTTGGAGCTTTGTATGTCAAAGCCTGATGTTAGCTGCCTAGATATTGAAATTCCTAGTGTTGGCTTTTATTATTTTTAGTAGGACTTTACTGTGAAGAGGGAGTGATCTACCCACAGTACAAGTAGAGTATTTCCTTCTCTGCTGGATGCTGGAACACAGAGAGCATTCCAGCGCCTGGCACCCCTCTGCAGCTGTGTTGCCTGCAGTGCTGCAAATGGTGAATGCTTTGCTAAATGAAAGTCAGTCTAATTTGCAATTGATGTCAAAGCATTTGGGCAAGAGGGTCACTGCAAAAACTGATCTAGTTATTTCTGGTAACAGTTAGGCCCCATGCACACGGGACACTTAATGAACGATGATACGGACTGCTAGAAAAACGTAGGTTAAAAAACATGTGTTTAGCTGCGTTTGCATACCACGTTTATGAGCGTTTGCGTTTAGAAGCGTTTTTTTTTTTTTTTTTATAAAAAAAAAAAAAAAAAAAAAAAAAAAAAAAAAATTAACGATAACCTTTAGGAGACCTTCCAAAATGCCCAGCATGCACTAAAAAGCATTAAAAAATTAAATATTTCAGCAGAGGCGGACTGACAACTCATGGGGCCCCCCCGGGCAATAGGGGGTCATGGGGCCCCTGTGTCCTTGCCCAAACTCAAAAAAGCCTATGAAAAAGGTACCAGGGGCATCTCATGGGGCCCCATACTGACCCCGGGCCCTCGGGCAGTGCCCGAGTTTCCAAATGGTCAGTCCGCCCCTGTATTTTCAGACATTCTGAAAGAAATAGAGAGAGCAGAAGCAGAGAGAGCAGAATTTGTTGAGATTAGCTGTTTTTTTTGTGGTTTTTGGATGTGTTCCAGCTCATTTCTGTGCAGAAATTATTACTGCAGTCTAACATTTTCTTTCATGCAAAACCTCAAAGTATGGTGTACCAAGTCTATTTGAGTACCGGGAAAACACTTTGCATGTATTTTTCATGATGGAAAAAGGCTCTGGATAGCATCTGGAAATGGAAGAGTTAAAAAAAAATGTTCAAATGCGTATACACGCAGTTAGCCGCATTTACACATGTTTACAAGCATTTGAAACGCTGATAAAATCTCCTGAACGCAAGTTTTCTGTGTTCAAAAAAAGGACTGTAAACTCAACTGCCTGTTGCTCTCTCTCTATTTCTCTCAGAATGTCTGAAATATTACATTTTTTAATGGTTTTTAGTGCATGCTGGGCATTTTGGAAGGTCTCTCCTGAGGTTATCGTTAAAAAAAAACGCTTCTAAACGCAAACACTCATAAACGTGGTATGCAAACGCGGCTAAACACGTTTTTTAACCTACATTTTGCAGCAGTCAGTTTCCATTGTTCATTAAGTGTCCCATGGGGCCTAACTGTTACCAGAAATAACTAGATCAGTTTTGCAGTGACCCTCTTGCCCAAATGCTTTGACACATGGACACATAGGAAAATATTAGGGTGAGTTCAGGGGCTGCTGAAAAAAATGCTGAACATCTCCTAAACGTGAGTTTATCAGCTGCAGTGTACATGAGCCCTTATAGATCACCATTATAAGCCATTGCTGTTGCAGGGGTGCATGGTGAGGGCTGCCTTGGGTCCCCTGACCTTATCAAACTACCCAAAGTATAACATTAAAATAAAAGAATAAAAAACAAAAGTTAAATAAATGTCCTCAATTAATACTTATCTTCCATTAGACGTGTTGTATGCTGTGAATACCATTTGTGCTTATTGCGAGCAGATGAAATGTTCATACAAGCATACACAATGTTGTGCAGTAATTTGTAGTTCCAACCCTCGAAAACAGTGCTGCCACACCAGCTCCTGTCTCTACAAATGTGACTCAACTTTATCTTAATCTACACTAATAATTTATGTGAACAGATTGCTTCCCCCATGTGCATTGCAGTGTGACATTGAAAGGATAAAAAGCTCTCCTAAACTGAAACGCAAACTGACAATGGGCTTTACCACTCTCCTACATAACTTAATTACGTAATATAATCTGAGCTTTGGGCAGGTTGATTTCGGAGTAAAAAATTTTGGGTTATGTAGGGGAAAAAATGGGAAAATGTTTTATTTCTTAAAATTGAAGCACAAATTTACATCTGCTATCAAATTGATTGTCAACACTTTGTTATTTAAGAAAAAAAATAACAGATTTATACTTACCTGCTCTGTGCAATGGAATTGCACAGAGTGGCCTCAACCCTCCTCTTTTTCGGGACTCTGCCAGTGCTCCTAGCTTCTCTTCTTGGTGTGCCCCCATTGCAAGCCACTTGCTATGGGGAAAATCTGCAGGCTCATTCCCGAACTGCACTGCCTGCATCTATAGATTTAGGCAGCGAGGCTCGACCCCGCCCCATCATAGTATTTGACTGACAGCAGCGGGCACCAATGGCTCCCACTACCTCAGCAAAGGCTGTGAGAGCAGAGAGAGCTGCTACAGGTGGATTGAGTGAGGCAAGTATGGGGGGGGTGTTGAGGGGGCATACTGCTAACTAAACAAGGGTAAACCCTTCCGGAGCTCATGTGGTTAAAGATCTAAGATAATGGATAAGCCTCCTATGCCTTACCAGTGCTTCAAGCCAATTTGTATGTACAAACATTTACCAAGCAAATGTATTAAAGTGTTTTATTAAAAAAGTGGCAGGACACAAATGATCATACAAACTAGAAAAAAATAAAGCAAATAAAATGTATTCATCTTTATCAAATATGGCCTTCATAAACTGAAGATGCCTCCAACTATATTCAAAGGCCTTGAGTTTCTCTTTTCATGCATAAACACTATAGCACATAGTACATAACCGTGCGTTAGGGAGAATGAATCATATCAGGCTGATAGGTTACAGGCTGTTAAACTTTCAAAAATTAAACTGGTTTCATAATAAATATATTCAAAGTGAAGTAGCTGTTTATCTTCGCAATTTATGAACTAAATGTCAAGTAATGCATGGAGCTGGGCCTCATGACTTCATCACAGCCTTCCGGGATCCTATGATAGAACTTTATAGTCATTTTAAAGTGATATTAAACTGTCACTTTTTAACCATTTTAAGTCCGAATACTTTCACCCCCTTCCAGGCCAATTTTCACCTTTCAGTGCTATCACTTCGAATGACAATTGAGCGGTCATGCAACACTGTACCCTTATGAATTTTTTAGCATTTTTTTGAGACAGATAAAACTTTATTTTGTTGGTATTTGTTCACCACTGGAATTTTTTATTTTTTTGCTATATAAATGAGTCCAAAAAGTTTGAAAAAAAATAGTTTTCTTATAAAAATTTGCAAATAAATAATATTTCTTCATTAATCTTGGACAAAATGAATTCATCTATCTTTTTAGTAAAAAAAAATAACCCAAATTAGTTTATAACCAAAAATTATAATTTTTCCAAAAATGTTTTTCCATTTTTATTTTATTTTTTAAAATATTATTTGTTTTTTTTTTTTTAAATACTGTCACATTAGTAGTACAGTGTCACTATATAGTGACACTGTACTACTTGTGGGGGGTGATGAAGATTTTTTTTTTTCTTTTTTACACTGATTTCTTTTACATCCATAAAGGCTGTAAAAGCAATCATTTCTCCTTCTCTCTGGCTGCATTCCTGCATTGGTCACAGCTTGTCACATGGTACAAGGCTGTTGTGAATAGCCTTGTACCATGTGACCTCTGCGATCATTCACAGATTTCACAAGTATTAAGCAATGATATCAGGAAGTGACATCTTGCTTACTAGTGTTCATGTGATCATTGATTGGCCAGTCAGTGATCACATGAATTGGGACCCCACACAGAGGTCCCGTACAGCAATCTGTGTTCCGCTATGTCTGGAGTGCACAGCAGGCACTGACCGTGGTGCCGTGTGCTTCCAGGGAGCATGCACAGGCAATGGATGCAGGGGGACGTTTAGAAACGCCCCCCCCTGCATCAACAGCGCTCCCGTCCAGCCATTTATTGACATGGGCCAGACGGGAAGAGATTAAACACTTACAGCATCTGATATACAGGTGAAACTCGAAACATTAGATAATTGTGCAAAAGTTCATTTATTTCAGTAATGCAACTTAAAAGGGGAAACTAATATATGAGATAGACTCATTATATGCAAAGCAAGACAGTTCAAGCCATGATGTCATAATTGTGATGTTTATGGTTTACAGCTCATGAAAACCCCAAATCCACAATCTCAGAAAATTAGAATATTACATGCAATCAATAAACCAAGGATTGTACACAGAACAATATCGGACCTCTGAAAAGTATAGGCATGCATATGTACTCAGTACTTGGTTTGGGCCCCTTTTGCAGCAATTACTGCCTCAATGCGGCGTGGCATGGAAGCTATCAGCCTGTGGCACTGCTGAGGTGTTATGGAAGACCAGGATGCTTCAATAGCGGCCTTCAGCTCTTCTGCATTATTCGGTTTCATGTCTCTCATCTTTCTCTTGGCAATGCCCCATAGATTCTCTATGGGGTTCAGGTCAGGTGAGTTTGCAGGCCAATCAAGCACAGTAAGGGTGTCAATGATGGTTTTCTGCACAACTGTCAGGTCAGCAGTCTTTCCCATGATTGTGATTCCTACTGAACCAGACTGAGAGACCATTTAAAGGCTCAGGAACCCTTTGCAGGTGTTATGGTTTAATTAGCTGATTAGAGTGGGACACTTTGAGCCTAGAATATTGCACCTTTTCACAATATTCTAAATTTTCTGAGATTGTGGATTTGGGGTTTTCATGAGCTGTAAGCCATAATCATCACAATTATGACAAATCACGGCTTGAACTATGTTGCTTTGCATGTAATGAGTCTATCTCATATATTAGTTTCACCTTTTAAGTTGCAATACTGAAATAAATGAACTTTTGCACGATATTCTAATTTTTCGAGTTTCACCTGTAATAACCTACTGACTATGCAGTTTTTTTGTCTTGTAATCCTTGCCTATGTTCCAGTTTAGGCTGGTGTCATGACCACACCCCAGGTTTCCTGTTTCAGAGTGACCTCTTTCTCCTGCAGTATTTTGCAGCACAGTGGCTAAATGGTTAGCACTTCCGCCTGGCAGCACTAGGGTCGTTGGTTCGAATCCCAACCACGGCACCACCTGCCTGGAGTTTGCATGTTCTCCCTGTGCCTGCGTGGGTTTCCTCCGGGTACTCCGGTTTCCTTCCACGCTCCAAAGACATGCTGTTAGGTTAATTGGATCCTGTCTAAATTGGCCCTAGTATATGTATGTATGACTGTAAGTTAGGGACCTTAGATTGTATGCCCCTTGAGGGTTAGGGACTGATGTGAATGTACAATATATATATGTAAAGCGCTGTCTAAATTGACGGCGCTATATAAGTACCTGAAATAAATTAATAAAATAAATTCTATAGAGCCACTGGTTGTTTCTCCCTACATTGTGTGCATCAGTAAAAAACAAACAGTAGAGTCACTATTGCGCTGATCTTCTATCAAACCGTCAGCTTGGGTAGGACTTCTGATGCAAGGACTTCAGGGATTGGTATTGCAGCTCTCCAGTATCTCCACAGGGTAGCAGAATAACATCCAAGTAACAACACAAAAGTGGCAGCACACAACCCCCCCTAGTGTGACTCCATTTATTAATAAATGGAGTTACACTAGGTCCGTTGTGTGTTCTCTGTCACTTTTATTTTGTTAATCAGTAAAAAACAGTAGCCTAGGATTGCAAAACACTCCCCTGCTCCTCACTTGTCCAGACAGGCTGGACACTGCACTGTCCACTTTTCACACTTGCTGTGAGGTCTTGAGGTTAAGGGAAGCAGCACTGAGAGAGCAAGAGCCAGCAGCTTTGAAGTTGCAAATTGTAATTGCTGGGGTAAGAATTGTAGCAAATAATTTACTGGGGAATGTTTATTTTATTGTGCTCAATGTGTAAAGCTAAAAATGCTGAGGGTTTAAAGTGGTTGCAAAGGCCGAAAGATTTTTGCCTTCACGCATTCTATGGGCAGCAGTGGCCCCAGCCCCCTCAATACTTACCTGAGCCCCATTGCAATCTAGCAATGTGAATGACAGCCTCGGCTGCCCCAGGTCTCTGCCTCCTCATTGGCTGAGACAGCAACTGCTGTCAATCACAGCCAATCAGCCAATGAGGAGACAGAGGGGGGGCCAACCATGGCTCTGTGTGTGAATAGACACGCAGAGCAGCGGGTGCCCCCATAGCAAGCTGCTTGCTGTGGGGGCCCCCGACAGGAGGGAGGTGCCAGGAGAGCCTGCGGGAGACCCTAGAAGAGGAGGATCCGGGCTGTTCTGTGCAAAACCACTGCACACAGTAGGTAAGTATGGACATGTTTGTTATTTTACACACAAAAAAAATGAACCTTTAGAATCACTTTAATACAACCTGAATACTTAAAGGCATACTGTATAGTGAAGTTAACCAGTGCGTTGAAGACATTTCTGTGTTACGGTTTTATACGTTTGTTTCTGTATATGTACACAGGGAAGCCATATTTTGCTTCCTGGCTATGCTTGATGCTTAGTAATTATAATCTTTCCTGCTAATAGATTCTCTGTAGATATGAATGAACATGCTTGTGAATGCTCCAAATCTCACCCAGAGACAATCCCACCACTCTCACCAGAATGTGACAGTCTCAGATTCTGTTGCTGCAATCAGAAATGTGATGATTGCACTCTAAGCCTCATTCTACACAGTTTGTTAAACCCCTCAGATGTGACAGTAAATTATGCAAGTTGTACTGTATAAGGAACCAGGTGACGCCATTACAACACCTAAACAGGATAAAAATTATATCAAGATGAAATAAAAAAAAAATATAGAAATGATCATACTGTATATAATATACTGTATAATGCATCCAGAAAGTATACACAGCGCTTAACTTTTGCCACAGTTTGTTATGTTACAGCCTTATTCCAAAATGGATTAAATTAAATTTTTTCCTCAAAATTCTACAAACAATACCCCCATAATGACAACGTGAAAGAAGTTCATTTTCAAATTTTTGCAATTTTATAAAAATAAAAAAACAAAAAGAAAAGCACATATACATAAGTATTCACAGCTTTGCTCAATACTTTGTTGAAGCCCCTTTAGCACCAATTACAGCCACAAGTCATTTTGAGTAGGATGCTACAAGCTTGGCACACCTATTTTTGGGCAATTTCTCCTATTCTTCTTTGCAGTACCTCTCAAGCTCCATCAGGTTGGATGGGGAGCATAAGTGCACAGCCATTTTCAGATCTCTCCAGAGATGTTCAATCGGGTTAAAGTCTGGGCTCTGGCTGGGCCACTCCAGGACATTCACAGAGTTGGCCATAGCTACTCCTTTCTTATGTGGGCTGTGTGCTTAGGGTTGTTGTCCTGTTGAAAGATGAACCGTCGCCCCAGTCTAAAGTCCAGAGCGCACTGGAACAGGTTTTCTTCAACAATGTTTCTGTACATTGCTGCATCCATCTTTCCTTTCATCCTGGCTAGTCTCCCAGTTCCTGCTGCTGAAAAATATTCCCACAGCATGATGCTGCCGCCACCATGCTTCACTGTAGGGACGGTATTGGCCAGGTGGTGAGAGGTGCCTGGTTTCCTCTAAACATGACGCTTGGCATTCAGTCCAAAGAGTTCAATCTTTGTTTCATCAGACCAGAGAGTTTTGTTTCTCATGGTCTGAGAGACCCTCAGGTGCCTTTTGGCAAACTCCAGGAGGGCTGCCATTTGCCTTTTACTGAGGAGTGCCTTTCATCTGGCCACTCTACCATACAGGCCTGATTGGTGGAGTGCTGCAGAGATAGTTGTTCTTCTGGAAGGTTCTCCTTTCTCCACAGAGAAATGCTGGAGCTCTTTCAGAGTGACCATTGGGTGCTTGGTTACCTCCCTGGCTAAGGCCCTTCTCCCTCAATTGCTCATTTTGGCCAGGTGGCCCGCTCTAGGAAGATTCCTGATGGTTCTAAACTTCTTCCATTTATGGGTGATGGAGGCCACTGTGCTCATTGGGACCTTCAATGCTGCAGAAATTTTTCTGTACCCTTCCCCAAATCTGTGCTTTGATACAATCCTGTCTCAGAGGTCTACCGACAATTCCTTGGACTTCATGGCTTGGCTTGTGCTCTGACATGCACTGTTAACTGTGGGGCCTTATATAGGCAGGTTTATACTTTTCCTAATCATGTCCAATCAACTGAATTTCCCACAGGTGGACTCCAATCAAGTTGTGGAAACATCTCCAGGATGATCAGTTGGAACAGGATGCACCAGAGCTCAATTTTGAGTGTCATGGCAAAGGCTGTGAATACTTAAGTACATGTGTTTTATTTTTAATAAATTGCAAAGATTTCAAAACTAACTTCTTTCACATTGTCATTATGGGGTATTTTTTGTAGAATTTTGAGGAAAAAAATGTATTTAATCCATTTTGGAATAAGGCTGTAACATAACAAAATGTGGCAAAAGTTAAGCCCTGTGAATACTTTCTGGATGCACTGTATATACAACGTTCTATTATATTATATAAAGAGGATTATAATACTGAAGTCTGATGACAAAGGGAACACAATTGTTTTGCACAATTACTCAGATTACCAACAAGGCATTTTGGGCAGGATTCTCCAGCCTATTGTCAAATGTGTTCTTATTCTGACCCTACATCAAGTATTCAAAAGATTATTCAGCAGTTGGCGAATACAAGGATGAGTAATGGATGGATCTCAGCTATATTGACGAATACTTGAATGCAAAGTTGTGTTTTTTTTCCCAGCAATCTATGGCCATCTAAAAGGCCCACAAAGGCCTTGACTCCTTGATGTGATCTTTTCTGGCTCTGGAAATGCCATACAGCTGTTGGGCATATTTTCTGATTTCTTTCTTTAACTACTTGTGTTTACTCTACCATAATTTCTGAGGGGAACAGGAAATTTTCCTCTAAACGACAGAGATTAAACCCAAATCTGATTGGATTCTAGCACCTATGGATGTTCGATATTAAAAGAGAAAGTGTGCTTT